GAGGTTTCAATTACCGAGCTACATCTAAGATACTGTAACTATCACCTCTGCCTTTTTTACGTGTCATATTTTTGCTTGATAGGATTATATAAGAAATTAGGAAGATTTATAAAAATACATTTATTAATAGTTAAAATTTTATATTTAATATTATAGACTAGAGTGGTTGAAATGTTGTAATGTGTTATTTTAGAAAAGAATTTTTCTTATGTGTGCTTTTATGATGCATATTAAAATTATTTTTTGTTATAAATATATATAGAAAAATACAAAATTGACATTCATTTGATATTAATGTCAAATGAATAAATTTAATTAAATAATTATAAATTAAAAGATAATAGAGCAGTATAGGTTTAAGATCGATCTGTATAACTTTTTTTATTATGAATTATGATCATTAACGACTTGTCATTCAGTTTTTGGAACAAGATGTAGCTTCGCGGTGATATTTAGGGGAGGAAAGAAAGGTATTCAGTCATTGTCAAGTGTCAACAAAGATGTTTTATCAAGGAAAGAAAACTCAAAACTCTTTTATCTTCCCTTTTGTTGGATTTGTTTAGAACACAAAAGATGAAAAAAAAAAAGTCAACAACTCCTATTTAATTAAGCTTAAACCATGCTTACCTTTGACCATGAATGCTTTAATATGGCATCCGGCAGCGCAAATGGTCAAATTCATCCACTGGATGGCGGTAGTTTTGTCATCAACCACTCCCATTTGTTCATAATTGCATATTAAATCAATGGCAACTTCATAACTTCACATCAATTTCATCAGACATCATGGGCTATTTTCCCTTTAAATACATGGGTTTTGAAGGTTTAACGGAAGGCCAATGGCATCTTCAGGACTCTTTCTGATCTTATTTTTCTCTGTTTTCCTCATAAATCTCGTTTCTGCTGCCGATCCTTACTTCCAGCATAATTGTGTTAACAATGGCAACTTCACCGCAAACAGCACTTACGGGACCAACCTCAACCTTTTGTTTTCTCAGCTATCCACCACGGCCGATTTCAACTATGGGTTCTACAATTTGTCCGTCGGTCGGAGCCCTGACCAGGTCAACGCAATCGGACTCTGCAGGGGAGACCAAAAGGAGGACGCTTGCAGAAGTTGCCTCAACGAGACCATCTCTG